CCCCAAAACCCCAAAACCCCAAAACCCCGTGTTAGAATAAGATTTTTGAGAGTTTAGAATTAATAATTTTGACTCAGGTAAGAATAATATGGAGTTCAAGGATTTTGCGAGCATAATGCTGGTATCCATTCTTTCGAATACTTGATACATGGTAGTCATACCTTTTCTGCCGCTTGAATTTAGCAGATATGGTATCAAGCCATCCACTTTTGGGTACATATTTGCAATATTCTCTGTTGCTGCAATGATTGGCTCTCTTGTCATCGGCAAACTCATGATCATCTTCGGTAGAAAAGTCATCCTGCTTCTCGGAATCTGCTCCATGGGAGTCTGCATGTCGGTGTTCTCATCAATTGCCTACTTCGAGAACTCTACTCTGGTCGTGTTGATGCTGCTGGTGTCAAGGTCTCTGCAAGGGTTTGCATCGAGCATGATCCAGACAACATGTTACGCAATCATCTCGGCTTGCTATGACGAAGACAAGCAGAGGTACCTAGGGTATTTCGAAGGAGCTCAAGGGCTTGGATGCATGATAGGGCCAGCCATTGGAGCAATTCTGTATTCATTCTGTGGCTTCAGCGGCACATTTTACTTTCTTGGAGGCTCATTGGTGCTGATGTGTCCTTTGCTATATTTCCAAATTCCTAACACAATAAATAAAAACGATAACTTGGAAGAAGATATGATAGACGATGAGATCAAGTCAGAAGATAATCAAATGCCTCAAGATAAGCCAGCATATACTAGCTTGTTAAAGAGAAAAGTTTTCTTGTTATCAACATTATGTGGAGGGCTATCTTATGCTTCTTTTTGTTATTACGAGCCTGTTTTATCACTCCGGCTTCAAGATGTGGGTCTTTCTCAAACCGAGATTCTTTATTTCTTTTGTATAGCTGCTTTCTCTTATTTGCTTTGAAGTTTCACGGTTTCTTATTTAACGAGTAAGTTTACTCCAAAGATGATAATCACTGTTACAATATTCTTATGAGGAATTGGTCAGTTCTTCATAGGGCCAAGTCCCTTTTTACCAGACAACTTATTTCTAATGGCTTTTGGTCAGTTTGTACAAGGATCTACGAGTTTTTTCTTCCTTATCCTAGCCTTGCCAGTTATGATCAAAGATGCTGAAGATAGGTATCCGACTTATAAGACATATGCTTCAGATTTATCTTCAGGGGTGTTCAACTTTAGTTTATCTCTTGGTCAAGCCTTAAGTCCAATTTATTCTACAAATTTAACCGAAATCATTGGGTTTCAAAATGTGTGCACTACAGTCGCAATCATCTTCATTGTATATGCCTTGATCTATTACATCTTTTGAGTCGCTCTTGTCGAAGAGCCGAAAGACACAGAATTAGGAATTGAGCTGAAGAGCCAAGAAGCCGAATGACTAAAGGAGAAACCTTGCCAACAAATTTAAAGATAATTTTGGAGAGTCAAGTTGATAAGGTATTAAGTTAGTTTAAGGATCGAACAATTAATAATTTAGCTATTTTTGGAGCTTCAAGGTTTAATATTTTTACATTTCTATTAGCTATCCAAATATTGGGGTTTTGGGGTTTTGGGGTTTTGGGGTTTTGGGG